GTGAGAAGAGAGTAAAATACCAAATGGGAACGATTTCGTGACCAATAATCTCAAACATAATTTTTTAGTGATTATTGATTTGTTTATATTTGTTTAAAATAACCAATATGCTTTTCTCAATCTGGAATGCTTGCTCATTCACCATGTGTATCTTAATTAAAACAAAGCCTATTATGTTTGTGACGATGGAATGATGTTTATTGAATCTACTTGTTAATTTTATCACATGGCAAAGTTGCAATTGAATGATTCCCTTTAACTCTAGAAGCCGTACATCTGCATCTAAAGAACAATCGCGAGATGCTGGACGATTTGTTGCTGGAGCTGCTCAACCATTGCCACCTACTGTCCCACCTGCAGTACGATGGTGTGCTCCGTGATATGGACACAGTGCGGCAGATGTGTAACCTGCAGCTGTGCAACAAGACAAGTAAGAAAAGTTTAAAGAAAGTAAAAACGATCAAAAATATTTCTTGTAGTGGGGATCAAATGGATTACAATTGAAAGTAGCGTATTGAAAATTGAGTCTTTCTAGCCATACCGATCTAGTGGTGCTACAGAATGGGACTTCCCGTCTTAGTTTTTTTTAAATTTTCATTGGTCTCGGCTAGCTATTCGAACTTACCTCATAGTCTTACCAGCTGCCATCTATCGCCGCCCAAAATTGAATTTTTTTAGAAATTTTCTACATAAATTTCCTAATAGTAGAACGGAAGTGTTATTTTAAGGATATTAAAGAAGAGTAAAAGCTCGTCCTAAATGGCAATTTTCTTTGAAAAATTTGGAGCCTATTTAAAAAAAAGGTGTTTAAGCGCTGCTGCAAATTCAAAATTTGAAGCTCTTTTCACAGAAAATATTAAATTTTCGAAAACTTCATATGACGCCATTTCAAGCACTTTTAGATACAAATACAAGAGTGTTTACAAATCACTGGAAATGCGCATATTAAAGGCGTGAGAGATCTTTCAAAAAATTACAGTTGTGCAATTAAAAGAAATGAATATAGAAAAATTATTTCTATTTAATCTTAAACAGTGCAATTCACACTATCTGTTGGGAAAGTTGAAGAAAATGTTTGGAGCCGTTTTTGAGAATATTGTCTAAAATTGCAAATATTGCACGCAATATTGCGCACAAACTACTAAAATGTTCAAAAAATGTACATGACTTTAATAAAATAACTAATTATGGACAAAAAATTGTAGATTTTTAACAACATTTTTATGTTACACATGATACTTATTTAACTGTTAAAATTACTGCAAAGGAACAGCAGAAATGGATATTTTACAACTTCATTCCTACCTATTCTTGAATGATGACTCGCTTTTAATGCATCTTTTCTCTTCAGATTTTCAGACTATGCACGTGAGGCCACGAACTCTCAACACGCACAATCGTGCAATTGTGAAAGACGTCTGTGCTGAGTACGTCTCCAAGTTGGCAGAACTGACCGTTGATTTCAAGATTGAAGATCCATCTTCTGTGATCATGTTTTGTTAGAATGATCCCCATTAACTCGAAATGTATGTATTTTCAAGTTATATCGAAGAAATATACAACACGTTCGAAATTACGAAGACTAGGACCAAGACGCAGTTGGGCATGGGAATTGTATCTATTAACTACATTATAAAGCAAGTGACTTGGAAATCTTAACAATTCATAAAACCTAATAGTTTTTTGAGCATTAAAATTAAAGAGAAAGAAATCATCGTTCATATATATTTGTGAAGTAGAACAATATCGTGATTCGCAAACGGAAGTCTGAATATAAAATGGCACTTCTTTAAGGCGAAGTTAAATGTTCAAAACTTAATATGTGAATTACAGAATTTCTACAAAAATGAAGGGATATGCCTCTATTCCGAAACGATATGTGCACCGCCAAGAAATCAATAAGGTACGTTTTAAAAATGTTTAATGAACAATAAATCTCATTGATATTCTTTTACATTAATGTCAATGCAGAAACCGCTGCATACATTGCTTAAAAACATAATCTGCCTATCTGTTTTACATAGAAGGAGACTCAATACCAGAAGGTGTTCGCAATAAAATTAGGATTTTATGTGCTAGTAGTAAAATTTCAATTTCGATCGACTTTCAAAACATTCTGTCACACCTAAGTAGATTTCATCCTCCAAAATTAAGATCTTTTCTAAATTAACATGTGTAGATTTTGAGCATTTAAACTTCTATGTCATTTCATTTTTGTCTTTATACTGTAGCAAATAATAAAATATGTAATAATTTAATTGAATTAATTCAATTTAAAGTGGTGGGATATAGACCACCAGGTAACTGTCCTATTCAGTTTGAAATTCGCCCTCGAAGGATATGCTTACCAAATTTTTACTTTGAAAGAAAAGAACATTGTTTCCTATGCGTGTAGTGAAAACATTGATTTAACGATTTACTGAGGTCTACAAGTGTTGTTTACCTAATTGTGGAGTGATGTGGGAGTACAGCGAAGAATGATGGTGTGTCTTGTTAAGTATGGTTTGTGTTTCACGTGTACCACTATTTTCGTTAGCACTGATTCGGTGAAACTTTCATGTCAGCGTGTAGAGTCACGTTGCGTTCTCATGGGTAAAAAGCCTTTTTTGTGACTAACACGAAAAGCGAAAAGCTGTCAAAGAATATTGAATAGTTACTTCAGATATTTTAAACCAAGTATTGCGAATTTTCCCAAGAATTCTCTCGATAATACTGAATAAATCATTGTTTAAAATTTCTTTTCAACATCAATGGCATTGTTTTTTTTTAATTTTTATTTGATGTTCTGTTAGTACATTATACACTTTAAACAAATACATACGTTTCTATAACAATTTTCCCTCTCAGAATAGAAATAGGATAGGGAAGAGTGTGGGATTTAACAAGCGAGAGTTCTCGCACGAGGATGCTGACGTGGTAGGGGAAATCTTGTGCACAACACAAAGAAGAAACTTTTTAAACTAAATAAATCCAAGTAGCTTTAAATCAATAAACAACAAAAATCAAAACGCGCTAGCCTACAATAATACGTGAATTAATTTAAAAAAGCAACCAAATTTTAAATTATAGAAAGAACAACGCAGGTCACTCGACAACTGCCAACTATCAGAATCCAGACGAACGATTTTATGTTGGCGGTATCTGGAAGTCTGTATATCAATGCTCAGGTGTAAACGCATATTGTAAATATTACACGGTTTTGATATTAAAATTAAAATGTCGGTTCGCTAAAATATTCAATACGTAAACATCGAATGTTTGAGCAACATTCCCATGTACCAGAGTCTAAGCATACTGAATTGTTTCTAATCGTAACAAATGGTATTTATTACTGAAATGTGAAAATATTAGTTTTATTATTTTCTGGTTGGGAATTGCTTTTCTCGAAATGCGAAAAAACGTAGAAAATAATCATTTTTTTAGTATACAAATAATTTTTCAATTTTCGCACCCCAGCAAGCTGGTGCCCTGCCCCTCCAAAACCCCCTCTATTCCTCATAACAATTCCAGGAAAGTTAAAGTCCGTCGTTTTTGATTAAATTGTGTTGTTGGATAGTGTGAAGGACGTTTAAGAAAATGGTGCAGGTCTCATGTTCGTGTTAACATCCCTGATTTTTCGAAAATTGCAAACGTTAATAATTTGTCTTCCTACAACTACAATTATGAAGAGAGCTTTTTTTCCTGAATTAAATCTGTTTCTAAAAGGTAGATTTTGAAATAAGGTGTTATAAATTTTTTCGAAAATTTGAGTAGTTTTTGCGTAACTTTGCGTTTAAATAGGGCGAGAAAGAAGCACCACCGCAGAGAGAAAGTATCTGTTTTAGTACCACTAGTTCCAATGGATTCTCCAATACTATTTTTCTATCCAAAAAAGGAAAACATATGCATGTAAATAACTTACAAATCAATCCCCTCGATAAGCGTAGACCTACTAGCTTTAACAAAAACGATAGCCACTAGACTAACGTTCCTCCACTTTCTCAAGAACCACTAAAGAGTTTTGAACAATCCTGCGGGCCACCATAAGAGGGTTTAAAAATTCTGGATTTTTTTGACCCACGTACTAGTTAAAATTGGAGCAGGAGAAAATTGTTGCTGGTTGAAAACACGATTGCAGGTTTACGTAGGAGTATAATATAAGGGAGAGAGAAATAATGCGAGAAAGTATGTGATTTTGTATCTTCACTAGTTTGAATATTAAAATGTCAATTATACATAAATTAAAGGATAATAAATACTAATTAATAGTAGAAGACTTACTGAACTGTGTTTGTACTTAACAACCCTAGAACGTAAGGATATTCTAAAAAACGGCAGATTCCGAAACACTGCTCTAGGTTCCATCCATGAAATCTTGAAATGATCAGCGCATGGGGAATAATTGCACATATCGTTCAAATTATTGAATTTGTTAGGACCTGGCCTTCATGTACAGATGCAAAACTAAAAAACATCAAAATACCATTAAATATTATATAATTTCGATCTTCCTTAAAAAACAATTAGTTGACTTTAAAAATGATTAGTGAACATTGTCGCTCTCCGAGTCGATACAGAACTGGTTGCCATCCTATTTCGTCCAATGATATTTGTGCGTTTTTTGCATCGTCGTAATCCGACATTTTTCTAGTGAGTCTTATATGCTGACTGGTTCAATTCATCATAAGCTCAAGCTTCTGACCATTTCTGAAAAACAGATTTCGCCAACAAAAGACAGTGAAGTAAGAAGTAACGACGCAAGTGTCAGCAGCGTGTCATTCGAAAAACTTTCGCCCATCATTTTTCTCCCGAAATGTCTTGAATATTCATTAATCGGTTAAATTAGCATTAAGAGCAAATAGCACAACCAATATTTAATACTGTAATATAAATCATTTGACTGTCTCCTGTTCACATTTCGAATAGATGGAATGTGAGTGGCTGTAAACATACACACAAAATATACTGGAAACGTTGATAGATTTGTAGGCAGTTTTGGTATTCGTTAAAATACTTGAGATTTATTTTGAGTCTAGTATAACACAAAGAAGAGAAAGAGAGCTATTCAAAAATACAAAATATTTATTTTATGAACTCACTGAGTGCCTTGAAAAGAAATTTGTTTTATATCCAAATACACAATCATAATTTTCAAAACAAAAAAGTTATGAAAAATGACTCACAGTATATTCGTTTAAGTGATTTTACATGTTACATCTTTCAATTTGGAAACATGTATTCTTCATTTTAACATAACACATTTCTGGCCTTTTAAATGGGAATTCAGTAACGATCTGGACACAAACCCTCGGTTGCACATATTGCATTCGTAAGGTCTCTGACCAGTATGAGATCTTCGATGAATCACTAATGTAGATTTTTGAGTAAATGATTTTTTACAGATATCACAGGTATGTGGTTTTTCACCGGTGTGAATTAATTGATGAACTTTCAAAGCGTACAATAAGGTAAAAGATTTTCCACAAACACTACAAGTGTGAGGTTTTTCTCCTGTGTGATTTCGTCTGTGTATCTTGAGTGTGTCCTTACTGGAAAACGCTTTCCCACAGAAATCACACAGATGTTTTTCCCCGGAATGCGTTCTAGCGTGAGAGGCAAGATATTTCCGCGCACTAAAAGTTTTGTGGCAAGTAACACATTCAAAACACTTTTCCGGAGGTTTTACTTTCGACCTATGAGTCTTTTGATGCGCTAACAAACTATTTTTGGATACGTATGCTTTTCCACACACATCGCACATATACATTCGCTCCCCACTGTGAGACAATTTATGAGCAAGGAAATCCGATTTCGCATAAAATCCCTTACTGCATTCTTCACACTGATACAAGAATTCTCCCAAATGTCTTTTCTGGTGAGTTTCCAGACATCCTTTGTGAACTGTTGCGTATCCACAAACATCACACACGAATTTTTTCTCTCCTTTATGAATTTTCATGTGTTTTGTCACTTCGTACTGCCGCTTGAAATTTCTATTGCAAATTTGGCACTGAAACGGTCTTTTCTGACTATGACTTTCCAGGTGGCGATTAAGAAGTTTTTTTGATAAACACACTTTTTCACACAGATCACATTTGAAAGTTCGCTCACCATTGTGGTTCTTCACGTGAATCATGAGCTTTATTCGTGAGTTATATGGTGCATTGCAATAAATGCACACATGCGGTTTTTTGCCGGTGTGTATTTTTCTGTGGGACTGCATGTCAGCAGGGGAAAACTTTTCACCGCAAACGTCACACTTTACCATGGCCTGATGTTTTCTTAATCTGTCTGAATGGCTGGCGGGCAGAATCGTGTCAGCTTCTTCAGCATCACCTTTGCCACCAGTTTCCAACGGCATGTTACGTTCGCTGAAAGAAAAGAGAAACACTACAGTGGAATATACATTTTATGACTCTTAAATATTCGTATTTACAAAATTTTACAGTTAACTTAGATCATGAAAGTCAAAGTAAACGTACATATAACATAATGAAAATGTGCGTATAACAATGGAAGTAATACCAATTTAAGTAAAACCTCAAGCCGTAGAAACTTTTGCTTTCTGGAAAAAATGCTTTCTGGATTAACTTTTGCAACATGAACAAAATATATTTACAGTAGTAATAATTAGAGTGTCTGATACTTTCGCGCAATTGGCATTTTTCACTTCATCTCAAAATCTTAATTAAGACGCTCTAAAACAATGGCAATTCAAAAAACTTCAGACAACTAAAATTACATTATCTACCTTAACACAAATCATTACGGGTACAGATTATTGGAGAATATGGACTTTTTTACTTCCCCAAAAATATTAATGAAAAAGTTTAAAAAAATACTTACAAGCTCCAAAATACAAATTTACTTTATAATGAAATAACAACCACTAACAAGAGTTAGAATTTTTAAATGACAATTCGTTTCGTTTTTGCATGTTTGAAGCACATCGAATGTAACTTTATTTTTCATCCTTTTCATTTAAAGAATTATAAAAGTGTTTTGTTGTGAAACGCTCGGTATGAATATAAAGTTAAATCAGTTACATCTGGCGGAATTTGCTTTCATTTTGTATGAAAGTGGAAGTGTGGACGCGAAGTGTGGCCGGCCACCCGGGTACAGGAGACCATGCGACAATCGTTGACCAGGCGAGGTGACAGATCGTTATAATTGATCTCTATATTTGATATATATTATAAAGAAATCTTACCATTGTCGATACCCTCGACCCGAAATCTTACCTTTGTCGATATATTCGAATATAGTAACCCTCACAACAGTTCTTTTTAAGCCAAGAGTGTAGCTAATTGTGTAGCTAAAATGTCGAAAAATTAGAAAGTTACTCTCAAATTTATTATCGCTTTCAAAAACCCTAAACCCTAACGTTGCCAGAAATTCAAATTTTAAAATCTACAAGCACTGGTTAATGTATTCCAAATTCATCAATTTTAATATTTTGGCAATGAATGGGCTACAACAGCACAAGACTTGAAAAAGGTCACCATTACATGGCCGAAATGTAAAATATTATGTAAAGTGTTGTGTAATGTAGTGAGTGTTTGTTAGTAAATTTGGACTAAAGTAAATGTTTTAAGTAGTAGTATAACACAGACAAAAAACAATTAGCAAAAATATATGACGTAGATGGGAGGAGGGCAAAAGATATATAATAGTTACGTATGCGTCAAGGGCGTCAAAAGGGTTCCAATGTTTGAGCGGCGAGAGAATGGCCGAGGGCCTTCTGCCGAAAAGTTTTTTGTTACGCAAAAATCATTAGAACCAATTAACGCCCGTGGTATATACATAATTTTATTTTTTACCTAATTGTTTTAAAATTTCCTATTTACTAATCAACTAGATCTAAACTTGACAATGTTTGTCCATTTGTGTTTCCCTCCCACAATTCCCTCTCATAATTTCCTCTAATCCTCCCTCCAAGCATCATTCAACTGTTTTCATATTTCCGTCGTAACCACGATCCTTTCGATCCGGGTACGATATGCAGTGTATATCGAGCTCCGTGTCGAAGGCAATAACAAGCAATAACGTATCAGTAAAAAAATAAAATTCATTTGCAATAGTTTGGCTTTTTACAAGAGAAAAAAGAACGAAAAGTAGCAATGAGCACAGATGACAAAAAGAATAGTTGAAACACAGATCTACGAACCGAGACAAAGGATTGTCGTGAAGCGGCTAATCGCTACTACAACTACTTCACTATTGCAACAAGAACTTCTGTCATTTTATTAACTTTTTCAATATTTTATTTGAAGTAATAAATGATTGTACATGCATTCCTACTTTTCAGACACACTGAGGAAGAACTATTAATAACAACGAATGAAAATTTAGCAATCTAACAGAACAACTACTAAATAGAACCAATTACTATACTAAAGATAACAAAACAAGAGAAAATAATGTTTATTAATGAAACAAGTTTAAATAAAAGTATAATGACGAGTATCGCTTTTGCACTACGAATAAGCCGAGTGCTGCAAAAGCGATCCGAGTTTCATTGTGGTATTACACAGTCCAGTCACATTAATGTGACCACCGCGTGTTCCAGGTAAACGTGTCCCTCACAGATATCAGGTGGCAGCATTAACAGTGGAGGGAATATAAAGCGTGACGGGTGGAAGTGGTAAACAGAGCAATAGTTGTCGCAATTCAGAAACGGAGCGATTTTCGTTTCGTTGGGTAATCAAAATCCACAGATGCCGACAAATCGATTGATGGCAAAAATTCTGCCTATACCTTAGTCCTTTCGTCCGTCTGTCTGCGATCAACGTTAGTGTCTAAACAGTTCATACTATTTTATCAAAATTGATATTCCCCATTCAATGTGAACGATCTCAAGACCCTGATTTTGGAGGGTACTTTATGAGCAGCCTTATTCGGCTATATCCGTTACAATTTCATTTCGTTACAGTTGCAAATTTTTCTTAAAACCGCTTCAAAAACGTTCATCTTTAAAAGAGATCACGTACACTTTTTAATGAGTGGTTTTAGCGAAATGTCTGCATTAAGTTGAGACAATTTATAAAATAATTTTCTTAAAAAGGTTTCAATTTTTTTCTTACATTTTCTCGCACAGATAGAGGATGCTTCAATGTATGTAGCAGAGGATACTTCAATTAAGAAACAATGTGGGAATGAATGTCCAAAAAATGTTTAAAAGTATCGAGAGTTGACCGTCGAAACAGGAGTGGTGACACGTTAGCTCTTAAGGCTGTAGGTTCGATACTCGCATAAGGAATGAATGTTTAAAGTTGTGTTCGTGACGTGGGAGATTCCGAGTGCCTCGTGTATAATACCTATACCTTAATCCTTCCACAATACGTTGGCCTGACAACCAACAGTGCGAGTAATCTCTTTATGTATACGAGGATCTGGATTCATACACCTCTGACAATGGTACAAGCACTGAGACTGGCCAAGGTATGCCCTCAGCAAATGTGTACAGGAACGTAATATATCATATTACTTTTTTTATATTGAGTGCTTCGTCAGTGAAGTGAGTATAAAGTGCCTGGACATTGGTCGATTTAGATAAATGGATGGATATGGCAGACTAGCCTAGGGAATAAAAGTTCTACAGAGGACATTTTTGGCTGCATGTTGTACTCGTACATACCAATCCTTTAACAGTAAGAGGATTTTCGTGATATGTGAGACAAGAATGTGTGAAATCTGGAAGTTTCTTCGATAAGTAAAACTGGGCGCCGAAGTTGTGATTATGCGAAAAGGAAGCTTGCGTGATATGTGAAAAGGATACAACAGAAGAAAAAGCTAAGTCATGCACGCATTGATATCGTAAACTGATGATTGAAACTGTGTGTTATTATTTCAAATAAAGATAAAGGTCTTTAATGTGGTGGGAATATTTGATGTAAAACAATTTATTTTGCCCTTCAATTTTAGTAGAGAACTAAAGTTAATATAATTTTATTTGTTCAACACAGAAACTCATTTTTTTGTAAAAGTAAATTAAGTTAACAATTAATGATCATTCTTTTACATAATCATACAATGTTACCCGTATGAAGAAATTTTAAAATACAAAAATCATTTTTTGAGAAATTGCGAATAAATAATATCTATGTGAGGAATTGAGATGGAGGCGGGCAAATTTATAAGATAAATATTTTGGAACATTACAGTACAGGCCGACTTAGGTCTATGCGATGTTCTCGGAGCTCCTAGGTGTTCTTCTCGAAGAATGACCTCAAAGAAGCCAGAGTAAGTACCCCGAGAGGCCCTAGTAAGTTTTTAAGATGCCAATACTTAACAGCTACGAAGAAATGGAACAAAATCCGAAACGCTAGCCGAGACTCAAGAAAATAAGAAACTAACTAGTACGGTAAAGTCTGTGTTATTCTATAGCACCACCATTTACTTTGCCATTTTACATTATTGAGTCCTCTCACACGTTTTATTTTCTTTCTTTTTCACAACGTCCGTGTCTCTCCGTCCATCTGTGTATCCTAGCGCTTACATAGTACGCTTACGTAGGATTTTTCCCGAACGAATATCCCTGGATTGTTCTGGTCCGACTCGAGGCCCGAATTTGAAACAATCTTCACGAATCTTCCTCGTCAATCTTAAGTGTTTATAATTGAATGTATAGCTTTTCAATGTAGTAATATTTTTTAAACTTCATTAAAAGACGATTTAAATGCAATATATACCATACCTTTTTATTATTATTATTATTATTATTATTATTATTATTATTATTATTATTATTATTATTATTTTGTTTTGTAGTTTTCTTAAAATCTTGGAGCTACAGTTCTTAATTCGTTACGTAAAACTGAATTATCAAACCTCTTTCTGAATAGATTCTTTTTTTTAAATTGCTAATTTCCGACTTATTCTATTATTAAGCATTTATTTCCAAACCCTGATATTGATCCAATGTGGCTACTTGAAAACCTAGACTAACTTTTGACTCCTAGATGGCCATTTCATATTTTTGCCTTTGAATGCGTCTGAAACACTTCATCTAAAAATATTAGTTCGTGATAAATTATTGCAATACTAATATAAGATGTTTTCAATTTATTGTTTAGAGAAATAAAAGTCGGAAAGAAATATATATTATAGTTTTGCACTTTAGAACCAGAAGGCATAAACTCCACCTGCAAGTTTGAAGCGAATAGGAAGTCTTCAAATCTTGTTTTCCAAATTTTGTGCTTGAATTTGTCACTATTGATGCAGTGCCCATTACTGATATCTTTACACTATGGAGACTCGCAAAATGACATTTTCATACACAAGAAATCAGTGCCTACAACAAGAACTTCAAGACAATTTTCTCCATTGTCGACTCTGGAGAACATATTAGATCCAAAGGAG